AGCTTCCCGAATTCACAGCACTTTATTGAGATAATCCTTTGGCAACAGCAAGGTCAAGAAAGTAATGTGAGTTGTGACTGCTTTCGAGAAGGCCAGGAGGGACAGCACCCTCATTGCCCACAACCACACTGGCCTTTGCGACATGCAGTGTGCCTGCCCAAGCACAGCACCGCAGCTTTTGGATGAGGATCGTGCTGCCGTTTTGCCAGCTTACTACCTGAAATGATAACAGTGCCTGCCTGTTTGCCCTGTCAAGGCTGTGATACGTTTTCCCTAGTGGTTTGGTCTTAAACAGAAAAGTCTCTCCTTCCCAAAATATTTTGAACTAGTGAAAATGAAAATACAAGTCGTCAAAATTTTGGAAATAAAAACAAAGCAGTACTAGAGCCGGCCAAATAGCTCAGCGGATTAAAGCACCTGCAAGCAGGCACGGGGCTAGGGGTTCCATCCCAGGACCTGCCATGCCGGCCCCGCCCCTGGGGCACAATGCAACAGCAATTGAGACGGTGTGCTGGCACACACCTGTAATCCCAGCTCTTGGGAGACTGTAAACAGTTGGATCACTAGGAGTCCGATCTAGTAGTGAGACCCTGAACACCCTGTAGACCCTTCCTTAAATTTAAAAAAAAATGCAATACTTAGGGGGAAATTTATAGCCCTGATTGTATACATCAGAAAAAGATTTCAAGGCAGTTAGAAAAAAGAACAGATTAAATACAAGTAAGCAGAAGAAAAAATAATAAAAATTAGAGCAGATGAGATAAAAGTAATGAGGCTAAAAGTTGAAAACAAATAGAGCAAATTAGTAAAACCAAAGTTGATTCTTTAAAAAGATCAATAGATAAATAAATAAATAAAAATAAAAAATAAAAAGAGCAATAGAGCCTCTACCTAGGCTAAGATAAAAAGAAAAGACAAAAGTTTATAATGACAGAAATGAAAGGTCATCACTACAGATTCCATGAACAGTAAAAGAAGTATGAACTGCTCTCTGTCCATACTAATAATTAAATGAATGGACCGATTCCCTGAAAGATAGTCATGGTACAGGCAAAATCACACAGCTGATCTGAGTGGGCATAGATCTGTTGAAGAAGTTAATGGACAGTATCCTGCCAAAACAAAGAACCAGGTCCTGATGTGTTCACTGAAGAATTTCACCAAATATTTAAGAAAGGAATTGTATCAATTCTTTATAATCACTTTCAAAAAATAGAAGCAGAGGGAACACAGCCTAATGCCAGTATCACCAATCTTAGACTGAAGCTGGGGCAAAAACCACAGAACCTCCCCTTCCTGGAACATAAAAAAAAAAAAGCCCCACAGACCTGATGGCCTTACCTAGGCGAGAGAAAGTAGAGATTTTGCAGTAAGAGAAAAGTAGGAGAGCAGGCTAAGGGGATAAACTTCTATGATGCTGGCCTTACCAAACACCAGATAAAAACACAAAACTGAGCTGGGTGTGGTGGTGCACACCTGATATCTCAGCACTTTGGAGGCAGAAACAGGATCATTTATAGAGTCTGAGGCCAGCCTGAACTACATAATGAGACCTTGTCTCAAACGACAGAACAGAAACTGTACCGACCCCTTTAGTTTTCATGAACCTAGATGCAAATACCAAAACAGAAGCAAATCAAATCCACAAACACACTATACACTATAACCAAGTGGAACTTATTCTAAGTATGAAAGACTGGTTCCATATTATAAAAATTAATTAATGTGAGCATCATGTTACACTAATGAACAAAAATTGTATGACTCATGATAGATACAGAGAAGCATCTGATAATCCAATACTCATATATAATAAAAACTGTAAACTAGGAATGCAGGTGAACTTTAACTTCATAAAGAACATCTACGAAGAAAAACCCCTATATCTAATAGGTCATATTTATTGGTTTGCTTTCTTATTTGCTTATTTGAGACCAATCTCAGTTATGTCACCCACACTGGTCTTGAACTCCTGGCCACAAGCAGTCCTCCTGCTTCAGCTTCCTAAGTAGCCAGTACTACAGGCACAGGCTGCCATGCCTGGCCCTAATTCCTTCCTGCATGGTGACAGATTGTGTTTTGCCTCACCCATTGGGAACGAGGCCACGGTGTGTGCACTCATTACTTATTTAACATCATGCTGCAAGTCCTAGCTAATAAGACTAAAAAGGAAATCAAAGCTTATGCAAACTGGGAGAGCAGAATAAGTCTTTGTCCACAGCTGTCCTGATTGTCTACACACAAAACTGCACAGAACCAGCAAACAAAATGAAAAATCATGGAACTGCTAGGCAACTGTGACTGGCCTCAGCATCCCAGGTTAATACCTAAAATCCAGTTCGTTCCTCAGTAATAGCAACCACCATTGTGTTTCAAAATGCTAAGAACGTGTGCAGTAAAAGATGAGAGAAAGTGGAGATTTTGCAGTAAGAGAAAAGCAGGAAAGCAGGCTAAGGGGATAAACTGAAGCAGCCCTGGGAACCATCAGGGAAATGCCAGAGCCTGCTTTTTGGACAGTTTGTCAGGTAACTCAGGGCAGGCAGCAGATTACAGAGGTGAGGGAGCTGCAGGTACTAGAGGGAGGGAGAGACGTTCAGGGCTATGAACAGGGGTTGCCCTGCATTGCTCTCTAGATATGACCTTATACATCTGGGTAAGTAACACTGCTGGACCTGAGGGGAAAAGGTGAGGGGCCATCCAGATGGACTTGATTTGTGAGAAAGGCTGTGTCCTTCCCCGCAGCATGTCAGCACCTGGCAAACCCTCAGGCCACACCACTTGGCTGCTCAGGTTGGCCACTCTGGAAGTCACTATCCTAGGGTGCCTGGGCAGGGTGCTGAGGAACAGCATTCTGGGTGGTTGGTCAGGGTATATCCCAGCATGCTCAGGAAGACAGTGCCACGATACACTCAAGGGACATTCTGTCTGTGCTGACAGCGTGGCTGTGGGCTGTGTGGCAACCATGGCCCTGCTCCCAGCTGGGATGCAGCCCCTGACCTCTGAGTCCTGTGGCATCCTCGAATCTGTCTTCCTTCAAAAGACCCAGATAAGGTCGACAAGCATGTTTCTGACGTCCAGGAATTCCTGCATTCAGACTCGAGAAGATTCTGGAGGTAGGAGCAAGCAGGCAGGCTGTCTAGTGGACCAAGACAGCCCTGACCAAAAGGGACGGGATTTTATAGGGTTTTTAGGGGAGGGTGTTTACAGCCTGAAACAGGAGGGAGAGCTAATCTAGGTAGGGCCATCAGGTCTGTAGGGTTTTTTTGTTTTTTTTTGTTCCAGGAAGGGGAGGTTCTGTGGTTTTTGCCCCAGCTTCCATCTAGAAGATACAAAGTCAGGTGAAATTGTTTTTGAGGTTTGGCCCTGGCTTGGAGCCAAAAAGAAGTTAACTTTGGAGTGAGGTCAAGGGTCCAAACTTACCACATGGTGTGGTGGAGCAGAAGACATCCGGAGAGGCCTGTGAAGCATCCCCTCCCCAAGCTCTCCAACCCCATGACGTTGATGCTTCGTGGTGTTGGACTTTTACAATAAACATGCAAGGCAGCAAGCTTTGTCTCCACCTCCCCAACTCAACAGATGAAAGGGAGACTCAGTGTGGGAACACCAACAGGACAGAAAATGTGGAAATAATTGTCCCACACATCCATCCATCAATATTTAACCAAAACTAAGTCATGGGTTTGATAATACAATTTTCATTACTTGCTCTGACACCTTGTATTCAAAAGGAAAAGAAAATCAAAGGGACAAAGCTCTTGCCATGCAGCTGGAAGCAAGGCAAAGACAAGCCCCTTGGCAGGAAGCCTCCTTGCCGAGGGCAGCATTCAGACTGGAACTGGAAGGGCGTGTGTATGAGGTCATAGAAGGCTGTCATTTACCAGTGGCAGGTTTACAATGTAGCCTTGAAACAAGACAGATTTCAGGAATTCCTGGACGTCAGAAACATGCTTGTCGACCTTATCTGGGTCTTTTGAAGGAAGACAGATTCGAGGATGCCACAGGATTCGGAGGTCAGTGAGTACAGTGAGGAAGAATTCGAAGGTAATTGCTCAAGCCTGGGAGGCAGGAAAACTGATTTCAGATATAGTGAGAACCAAGAAGCATGGAGTCTCCGTAAGTGTCAGGCACTGACACTTAATTCAGCCCTTTGATGCTTTCTACACACATTTCAATAGCGCCTCGCATTCATCTGCATTTGCATCTGTTGGGGGTGGGGTGGGCGGGGCTGGTACCTGGTCAGAACCATCAGTGGTGCGTGCGTCTTCTGTCCACTAGCTGGATGCTTCTGACAAAGGCAAGAAACAAGGAAAGATGAGACAGATTTCTAGGACTATTCCTAGGAGAGTCTTGAGCCCTCCAAAAGATGAAAACCAGCCTCCAAAGAGGGTCTCTGGGGTCCACACACCATGGGTTAACTCTTGAATTCTGGCAGTAATGTGTTTGATAACTTCACCATTGACATTAATCTCTAGGCAGAAGTTAGACAGACTGAGCTTCCCAAATACTCCTTCTTAGGCCAAGGGGTAGTCTAAGGCCAGTCTATTCTGATAGATGGCGCTTCTCACTTTAAGGCTGGCCAGGCAAAAAAAACTGAAGAACGGCCTGCAAAGAAGCAGGTGTCCACTGATGCCCTAGGCCTGTCACAGAGCAGGTATCCAGCGTCTTTTTACCTCTCTTCTAGCACTGTGGGTGAAAGAGCTGACTTATTAGGGGCCAAGACATATAGTGAGAACCAAGAAGCATGGAGTCTCCCTAAGTGTCAGGCACTAAGCCCCTGCTTAGCATCCCGGAGACCCTGGGTTTGATTCCCAGTACCACACACACAAAACAAGGACCTTGTTAGTAAAATCTTTTATTTGGCATGTATTTTAAATGTAATGTAAGCACTAGGGAGGCTAAGGCAGGAGGATTGCCATGAGTTTGTGGTCTTACTACATAGTAAGACCCTGTCTTAAAAAAAGAAAAAAGAAAAAAAAATGATATAAAGAAATGTGTAAGCCAGGAATTTTAACACAGAAAGAGGAACTAAGAGACAACATTCATTTTGAAAAAATCAAAAATCTGATTTTTTTATGCCATTATCCTCCTTAAAAATATCAGCTAAATTTCAGCTACAAAAGGTAGACAAATCTTCAGTTGCTTCAATTGTAGCTCTTCACCTAGAAAGGAAACAGAGAAAATAGTTCAGAATTTTCTCAGTCAGTGCTTTTTTCTTTCTTTTCTTTTCTTTTCTTTTCTTTTTTTTTTTTTTTCAGTACCAGGGATTGAACTCAAGACCTTGCTCTTGCCAGGCAAGTGCTTATTCTTCTGAGCTATCTCCTGGCCCTCAGTCAGCTTTTTTATTTCTAACAAACTTTTGTCTGCAGAGTCACTCAGATTGGAGGGAAAGCAGCAAGGATGTACTGGGTCCCTGCAAACCCTGCACCTGTCTCCTGCTGGGTAACAGCGTGTGTTGCTACGGCAGGCTTGGTGCCAAGAAGGAACCAGTACTGATGAGTTGTTTTGAATCAAATCATACTTTCTTCTGTCTCCTGCTTCTTCCTGGTATCCCTTTTTGTCCCAGGGCCCTTGCTAGAGGTCACACTATACTCAGTCTCCACTGGCAGTGGCTGAGACTTGCTAGGTCTTTTTTTTTTTTTTTTTTTTTTTTTTTTGCAGAACCGGGGATTGAACTCAGACCCTTGCACTTGCCAGGCAAGTGCTTATTCTACTGAGCCATCTCCCTGGCACTTGCTAGGTCTTGATGGCCCTTGACATATGGGAACCTGGCTCAGGGTTCGGCAGAATGTGCCCAGGTTGGTGGGCTCGGGCTCTCCTGTTCCCTTGTTTTGGGGACTTATTACAGGGTTTGTCACTTGAACACCAGCTCTGCTCACAGCCTGAGTGCATCCTAGTCACTGCCTAGTCACTAGGCCCTGGGTCCCCCTTGGAGGGAGGGACAGTGTCCACTTGAATCCTGGGCTCCTGTGCAGGAGATGGCACTCTTTTCCCAGACAGAAGCTGTCCTGCAACTTCTTTCCTTTCAATACTATTTCCCAATGTTACTTTTTATTTTTCAATCGGTTTATATATCCTTATCCCCCCACTCTGTGTCTGTCTGTTTCTCTTCTCTGTCTCTTTCTCTTTCTCTCTGTCTGTCTATCTTTGTCAGTACTGAGGACTGAATCTAGGATCTAGGACCCTCGCACTGAGCATTTTATATTTCTTATTTTGAAACAGGGTCTTTACAGTCTGGGCTCAAACTTGGGAGTTCTCCGCCTCAGCCTCTCCTGAGTGCTGGGGTTACAGGTGTGTGCCATCACACTTGACTTCAATCTATGTTTTTCTTCTTTCTTTCTTTCTTTTTTTTTTTCAGTATCAGGGATTGAACTCAGGACCTTGTGCTTGCCAGGCAAGTGTTTATTCTACTGAACTATCTCCCCAGCCCTTCAATTAATTTTTTTCTTTTCTCACTTCCCTTCATCTTTTCCTGTTCCCTCCCTTTCCTTTCCTTTCTTTTTCTTCCTTCTTCCCTCCCTCCCTCGCTCCCTTCCTTCCTTTCTTCCTTCTTGTTCTTTCATTTGTGGTCTGAGCCCAGGGTCTTCATACTGAGCTACATCCCCAACCCCTTTTTATTTTCTGACAGAGCCCAGGCTGCCTCAACCTCCTGAGTGCTGAGACTGCCATTGTCTCTTGTCCTGGAGAGGTTTCCATTTATTGAAACATGCATCATATATTATTCTCATTCCCTTCTCTCAGACTTCTCCTTGTGGACATTTTCTATCTAGCTTTGTTGTGGTAAATGCCACAGGGTCTGACCCTGAGTCCACACCACCAAGACACCGAGTTTCAAGACAGCTGAAAGGTGCCGCAGCCGGCTAAGAGCACTTGGGGAGGCTGGAGGAAAAATGCACAGCCCTGAGTTCTATTTCTTCACCCCACAGATCCTGAGGCCACTTTGCCGACTCACCGTGTCCCTTAGAAGGCATTCATGGCTCTCCTCCGGTTGATGTCCCTCTTGATTTGGCAAAGTGTACAAACGGGACAGAACAAGGTTGCCATGTAGTCATCGCAAATAGAACCCTGTGTGAGAACAAGAGCCACAGGAGGGTAAAATGCACCCAATGCAGTGATTTCAGAGATCCTGAAGAGAAGCAAACACCACTGCACCTTGGGGTGAGGGTGAATGCATTTAGGAAAATGTTCATTGGTTTTTCCAAAGAACTAATCTCTTTTTATGACCCAAATATTTTTCTATACTTTATAGTTCCTCCACAGCACCAGGGAGCAGGCTCCATAAATGGCTGCAAGAAGCAGGAGCGCAGAACTCTCTCCTAGGGCCCCTCTGCACCTATGAGGCTTCTGAGTCAAAGCCCCTAGTTCTGGGGTGGCCAGCATGAGTGATATCACAGGAAAATGGACATTTAAGGTCTGGAGTGTTGCATGTGCTGGGAAGAGATTTAGAAAGCTATCACAGAATTTGGGGCTAAGGTATTCGTAAGTAAATGGAGACTAATGACTCATGCATAAAACAATATTAATTTATATTTTTGTTTTGTGAGACAGAGTCTTGCTGTGTAGTACAGGCTGGCCTTAAACTCACTACATAACTCAAACTGGCATCAAATTCACAGTAATCCTCCTGCCACAGCCTCCCAAGTACTAGGATTATGGAGATGCTTCACCACACCCAGCAACCAGTTAGTAATACCAAGAATAAGAGAGTTTAACCCAAAAATCAATCATGTTCACAACATGACTCAACTCTAAAGCTGAATGAAGTGACAATGTAAGTGTCACAGTGTAAATGCGGACTGTAGAGTTAACCAAAGAAGTGTTCCCGCTCATGGAACTGAGTGGGTTGGGAAAGGGTGTAGTTAGGGTGGAGAGGAATCAAAGCTAAATTCTTATCTTTTGTGGTGGGGAGCAAATAAACAGTGCTTCAAACCAAGAGGTCAAGAAGCAGCAATACAAGTTTGTGATTTGCTGAAAAAACCTGTTCTGGGGAAGGAGAGGAAAATTTGAGGTCTACAGTTTTTCTTTGCAAACCTTGCAAAATTAGATTATTTAAAAATAAGTTGTTTCAGGGATTTGAGAAGTAAAAGCTGCATTAGAAAAACAGGACGTGGCGACATCGAATAAGCCAGAGATGCTTGATTTGGGGAAAATAGAAAGTAGCTGGGAGGAGGGGTGGGTAGCACAAAACAGAGCTGGGGAACCTGAAACCTAACAAGGGGGCAGGCAGCCAAAGGCAGAAAGGACAAGAGAGGAGTCCTGAGCTAGGAGTGGGAGGACCAGGCCAGGGGACTGGAGCCTGGAGGAGGAGGGCTGCTGGTGAGGGAAGTGGGGTGAGGAGAGAAAGGGAGGGAGAGAGAAGACTTGTGAATTCTTTTTTCTTTTCTTTTCTTTTCTTTTTTTTCTTCTTTTGCAGTGCCAGGGATTTAACTCAGGACCCTGGGCTTGTCAGGCAAGTGCTTATTCCACTGAGCTATCTTTTTGTTGAATGAATCTTTCTTGGTTCCTTTTGCTTCAGATGCATCACAACTTATTTTTTAAAATCTGATTAATGATTACCTTAAGTTTTTACCCTCAATTTATATTTATGTTTCGCTACCAATAAAATAGGGTCTTTAGAATACTTCTATTTCTTTTCAATTTTCCAAATTTTATTCAAACTAGCTGAAGTTTTCATTTCAGATGTCTGATTATTTTTCAAACTCCCAAGAAGCATTTTAATTTTTAAATTATATA